CCCGTGATGGCGGGTGTTATAAATTAGATTGCATAATCGTTTTTCTTCATATTTTATGTATTTTTCATTGTTTGTTCAATACTAGAAAGGTAAAAGTCCCACAAATGAACTGTGATAGGATTTGTTTTCTCTCACCAGTGAAGGCAAATGTTGATTTTAAAGATGAGATTTGTTTGTTCGTGCAATGCCGAGATCACATGACCATTATTCTATTATTTATTTGTTCTCTAGTTGAATCTCAGGTTTAACATTAATTATAACGGTGCTATAACGGTCTGTTTGCATTGACAAGATGTGCTATTCACGCGGCACACCTGATGGCGGGTGTTATAAAAGATATTCCATAATCGGTTTTCTTCATATTTTTTATGTATTTTTCATTGTTTGTTCAGTAGCCTACTAAAAGGTCCAAGAAGTCCCACAATTTAATTTAATATTCAATTTACATGTTAAGTATATCGTAAAGCGCTTCGTGGGAGTAATTGTGGGATGATACATTTTCAAAGTATCACGATATGTATCGGTTGAGTATCGGTATCGTTCAGTGGTATCGGTATCAGTATCGTAAAAAAGTCAACGATATGCATCCCTAGTTGTGAGCGATTCATATCCATGACACTTCACATGGTGGGAGGCGGAATCATGTTTTGAGACAATGACAGGAATATTGGCATTGGGGGAAAGGTGAGATTGAGTGTACATTTATAGCATTCACAAATATCTGCACAATCAGAAACATATGTTTATGTGAACACTGTACAGAAGAAAGGGACTCTCAACTTTGAAATAACACTGAATACTGTTAGAAGTGAACATGTTTTTGTTTGAGGAAGATACTAAGTTCCACCTCAAAAGTACAGAACACAGTATACTCCATATAGTTGTATATTTAACAAATCGGACACACATATTGAAGTCCTACCCTTTGAGGACGGTAGTCTCCAGATGACGAGGCGCTTCCATTCATCTCCCAGGTGGTAGATTAAGTTTTCTCTCTGCACCGTCAACTCGGAGCTGAGAGCGCTGAGCAGAGGCAGATGGGAAGTCTTCCAGCCCTTCAGGGAATCCACTGTGGCTTTTGCCTGGAAGAAAAACCATCAAATAAATATCAATCAGTAAGTTGAATGTATAAAAAACCTGTGTACAAATGAGGGAAGGGAGTTTGATGGAGATGTGTGGGATGAAGGTTGTTTTGCTGGCTATATGAGCCGTATGTGTGTCAATTAATATGCAAGTCTGCTATATAGTTTGTGCCCTCATTGTCAGTATAAATGATACCAGGAACCTTTCAACAATATACTTGTGTATTCTTGCTGATGCACCAAGGGCCATATAGTAAAAGGTTTCAAAACGATTGAACAAGTATCAAAAAACAGCTTAATGTGTTGTAATGATTTCCGAGTTGCCCAGTCCTAGTTCAGGAAGGTTTTTTTAAGAAGCTCTTACCCTTTGTAGCTGGTTGGCTGCAACAACATACTTCTTATCCTGTGAAGCTTTGTTGGACTCCTCCATTGCACTGTGAAACTGAGACACAAAGAAACATTAGTTATAATTGGACTATATCATATCTTTGCGACTGCATATTACATTATATTTCAGTAAACTCATTTCAAATGTTGTGTTGGTATTACAAACTCCCATGGATGTTGTACCTCTTTTAGGTGTCCAAGCATTGTTATGATGACAGTGTTTTTCTCCAGCTGCTGCTTTAGCTTTGTATACTCAGCCACAGCCACGTGGATATTCTGCTTCACCTGTGTCAACAAACAGAAACGGTTAAAAAAAAACAACGTTGCTGTAAATCCACCTAGAGTAGAACTGAAACCCATCGTTCTGCTCTTTTGGCGGATCGGGCTTAAGTATATATATATTATTTAAAAACAGTTTCACACATACCTCCGTCTCAATGCAGTTTTTAAGGACATCCATTTCTTTGGAGACCTCATCGACCTCTAGCATTAGCTCCTCAGATCCTTGAAGACTCGGCAGGAAGTCATTATACTTCTTGTTTATCATTTCACATACTTCTTCCTACGAAATAAACATGAAGAAAGCAGACACATTGACACAATATATACTTTTGCTTTAAGCCCAGGTGTGTACAGTTTGTGTACATTTACAGTCTTCATTACTCTGGACTGTACACACATCATTTACAAAGGCCTGAACACCCAGGGCTCTGTATACGGCCTTTGAGCTCAATCAATGCATGCTTTGCTGCCAAACAAAACACATGTTTAAGTTACTGTAATGCATATTAAAATAATAAAAAGCAGCATATTTTCAAATGTGTAAAACGTGAACCATTACATATTTTTGCATGATTACCATTAAAATAATATGATTAGCTTTTCACACGTTTTGTATTCTCATATCTGTATGTGTAACTCAAGATGTCAGATAGTTGCAGTCAAGCAAATCTAAAGAAAAAACAAGTAACGTTTAGGTACCTAACATTTGTACGTCAAGTGTAGTACTTGGGTAAAACACTGACTTCATCCAAGACACCCACATACAGTAAAACACTACAACTGCAAGTATACATGTCTTATATTTAGATTTATTAAAACACAGTGCAATGGTTTCTCTACAGCCACGTAATCAGATGTCACCACTGACAGTGCAACACATATGGCTAGCTAACGGTCTTGCTAATGAAAATGCAGTTAGCTAAACTAGCTTTTAAAAAACACTCTTTATCAACTTGTGATATGATTTATGTTTATTTATGGGTTAATTGTATTCCAGGTGAGTTGTGAACATCTACCAAACGTCGGTGAAAGGATCAAAGAAGTTTTTGCTTTTCAGTGTTAGCGCTAACTGCTAACGCTGGTTCAAACTTTACGTAGCTCTACGTAGCTAATGCAATGCTAGCTGGTTGATTACCTTCGTATCTTCCACCTTGCGCGACAGTTTGCTTATTTTACAGGACAGGTCCTCTTTCTCCAGTTTGCCGGAGCTGGCGAGCACTTCGGTCACAAACGACGCCATGGTTTATCTTTATAGTGCCGTTATAATGTTTTACAAAAGTGTGACAGGTGAGCACAACAACCCCAGGACCCGCCAGGTGATCTGATTGGTCGAGGGCCGCTGCCTTCTTCTTCGCGTCAGCTTTTACAGCAGGGTGCTACCACAGCGCCACCGTTAAATGAATGTTGAAACTGCACTCAAACTGGTAGAATAAGCATGGAAAGGAGTTATCTTGTAAACTGTCACATCCAAGCAAGCACTCATAATATGCAGTGTGAACATAATAAATACATTTATCCAACTCTTATAGACTCTTATCTGGAGTCTGTGCGCAGTGGGTTAGTGCGCTGATCTTTGAATCAGGGGATAGCAAGTTCGAGTCCCACTGCAGTCAGCATGTCGTTGTGTACCTGGGAAAGACACTTCACCCCAAATTGCTCCTGTGGGGATTGCCCACAGTACTGAATGTATGTAAGTCGCTTTGGAAAAAAAAGCGTCTAACAAGTGAAATGTAATGTTATCTCTTCCCATGACTCATTGTGGTTGTACATCTGCAGTCTTTCTCCTTACTGTGAACATTCCTCTCATTATTTCCACATTTCTGTACAATACTACCATTTTCAGAACTGCAAAGCCTCTGCATTTTTAAATCACGAAAAATCTCTCATTCATTTGTCATATTCTTTTTATTTGTCCTTGTTTGTATATTGATGTTGTTCATAATGTTTCTCAATTATATTTCAATATTTCCCCTATTTTTATAGTTTAATTTTTCTGCGTTAAGGTATGCACTTATATATTGGTTATACACCAAAGTAAATTCCTTGTATCGGAAAACATACTTTGTAATAAGCCAAATATGAGATCTGAAAACTTTTATCATTTTATTTGGCCTGAGACTCAAGAACATTCAGTAAATGGTCTGTACTTAGTCATTTTCTTTTGCTGAACAACTAATCCAGCTTTGTGATACAGCTCCCTGATGATGTGTGATAATAAATAGGAACAGTTCACTTGACTTTCTAAAAAGAGTTTTACCCATCTCTTGAGTCTGACTTGGTTTATATAAATATGAACTTCCAAACACATTATTTGTTTTGACATTTTAATGACATAAGATGTGGTAGTGTGACAAAAACACCATTTACAACAGGGTTACAGCAATAATTCTAGACATTTTCCATTTATATAAGACGCCATTATAGCCGTCACCATACAGTCTCTATTGCTGGCAAACGTTTTTGATATAATTCTTAAAGTGGGAGTGCTGAAGACAATGCTGCTTAAAAACATGAGATCTACAACCGAGACATGAAGTTGGGAGTTGGGAGCGAAGCCGCATCCTAAATAAAAAAGGATCAAGAGGACAGTGGGCTCATGCAGGCACATAAACGTGTTACCATGTAGGAAAATAGGTTCACAGACACATTCATTACACTGAGAATGTTCTGATCAATGGATAGAGGGAAGGCTTAATTTCCTTTTCAGGGTAATACCAAAACATTTTTAATTGATTAGCTACATTAACTACACCATCACTGGACTACACTGTACTAGCACAACTCTGGGCCTCAGGGCGTACAGTTGGCACCCTCTAAACAAAGCACACAAAAAGCCAACATTAGAAGATTATATGGACACTTGGGTATTAAAACATAGACGTGGCATTTAATTTGCGTGAATGCTTGGTCCTGTGAGATTAGTGCGGCTGTGTTGCCACAGGTTTAAAATAGCTCGACAACAATGGCATGAAGAACACACAAAAAACCCCACTGGAATCGAAAGATGACATTTAAAGCACATTACAGAATTGAAGCTACTGCAACAATAAAGCCGGTTAAAAAGGAAAACACACAGAGGTAGATGCACAATAAATAGGAATGACAATATAGGTGCATTAAGCCGTGTGCAACTATGTGGTTGCAGTTAACGGGGCTATAACAAGACGAGTTATGTCAAATACTTTTTAAAACAGAGTGGCACTGGTGTGTTAATCCGTAGCTGCTGTGGTTTGTGGAGTGGTTCAAATGGGGGAAGATTTTCAAGTTCAAACTTAACAGCAACCTGGATATTTGAAAACAAGTTTTAACAAATGTACAGTGAGTTACTTTCAGTCAGAAGGGGGTTAGTGTTCCTCACTATGGGTTTTGTTTCTTTTACAATACTTTTTAATTTCATAAAAATGTTCTATTTTGGCGGAATTTCAATTGATTTCACATTTATTTGCATTTTGATGCATCTGTTGCATCAGTCATCTGCATTATATGACTTGAATTGAACTATTAAAACATAAAAAAAATAAGAAAAAGCTTTAAAAAACAACATGTGCAGCTGAGGTGAGAAAGGAGTGTTAATACAGACTGAAGGCTCATGGAAAAGCGATTGCAATAAAGACCTCGGAACGACCTGCTTCGGTGTTTTATCCCCTGCGGTTTCCTTCTCTTTCGCTCTGCCAGATTAACCACAAACGGCAGGAAAGAAAAACTTGAGAGGTGATAATTCTTAAGATTGGAAGAAGCGAAGAAATGCCTGGATTTGGTTTCATTAGAGTTACTGGAGCTCTCTGACTTATCTCCGGTCTGCATTTTCCTTTTCCAACTTTTTGGAATGCATTTTGAAGTGTTTCAATTACTGTACAATGTTTCAAACTGCCGATATATAAATATATATATGTAACCCCATGAAATACAAGAAGCTGTGTTAAAGCCATGAAAGGAAAACTTGAGGTTACTTGTGTAACCCCGGTTCTCAGAGTAGCACAAGAGGAGAACAGAGGTACATACAGTATGCTGCGTAATGTGACGTGTTAATCAAGCATGTCTGCAGAAGTTATTGTAAGATCACATTGATGGTTTCCACTCTTCACACACATTAATGGCAAAAGGAACAACACTTATCATTCTGTAGGTGCAACCGAAGCAATATAAAAGAATCAAAAGGAATGTGAGCCATACAGCGTGCAAAATAAAAGATAATTGGCTTCATAGAATCTGGGGAGATTAGTATTTCCACTCATGGCAGTTAACCATCAGTCACATCTTCACAACATTAAGAAACTCAATTAAGGATGGAATGGTCGACGTGTTTTCACTGGGAGGTAAACATAGAAATGGGGATCTGAAGAAGAAGATTCAATAATGCTTTTCAAACTGCCAAAGCAAAGAGACGTAAACGGTGTTTGACTTCAGGACAACATAAACCACCATATGGTTTCTCATTGAAATGTGCCGAGTTGATTTCTCAGTGGAAGAATACAACTAATAATCCAAATGACGTTCTCTCACTGTTTAGAGTCCTTTGCTTTGGCAGTTAGCTGCATATGGCAGAAAATGATAAAACACTGCAGATTGATGTAGATACGAAGCAGAGTTGTCAAGAGTTGGAGCAAAATTAACTCTTCAGCACAGAGTCGTACGTCAGGTACACGTACTGAGAAACCTCCGGGGCCCGACACTTCAGAGACAGCTGAGGAAACACAGAAGGACACACAGTTCAAATAAGAGACATATTTTACTTTGTATACACACAATCTACAATCTATACAATATTACATTCTCAAAATTAGGGATGCTCCGATCGATCGGCCGCCGATCAGCAGAGAGTGAGTATCGGCCGATATCGATCGGTGCTCACTAAAAATGCCGACCGCCGATCGCATGACGTAAAATACATGACACTTTTCTCCGTGCGGCAAAACAAGCTCGCTTCACCGGTCTGGCAGTATTTTACGGTGTCCCAAAAAGACAGTAAAATAGCGGTATGCAACGTGTGAGAAGCAGAAATCCTGCAGCTCCGCCCGCTGTGACGGACCGGTGAGCGAGCAACACACACTAAGAGTTAGACCTAACACATTCATGCTATTTGATCTACCTCTGGAACAAGATAAACTAGTTATACATATATTTATTCCCCGCCCACTCGATCGGTATCGGCCGATACTGATTCCGGCCATCGGCCCCTAAATTGGCGATCGGAGCATCCCTAGTTTAAAGTATTAGTCAACCAGTAACAGCGTACCACTCCAGGGCTAAAATAAAATGTAATAAATATGGCCTACCTTTCGAAAATAAGAAAAATAAACAACAAATAATAATGAT